GAATAGGTTGTTTTTTTTTATAAACTGGCTTTTGCCCTGGCTGGGTAGCTCAGTTGGTTAGAGTGTCCTCTGGATATGCCAAGGTTGTGGGTTTGATCCCCAGTCGGGACACATGCAAGAATCAACCAGTGAATGCATAAATAAGTGCAACAACACATCGATGTTTCTCTCCCTCTCTTCTTCTCTCTCTCCCTCTCCCTCTCCTTTTTGCTCTCTCTAAAATCAATCAAAAAACAAACCAGCTTTTAAATTTTTGTTTGTTTTTTGTTTTTTATTGAGAGAGAGGAAGGGAGAGGCAGAGAGAGAGAGAAACATCCATCAGTTGCCTCCTGTATGCACTGGGAATCAAACCTGCAACCTGGGTAGGTACCCTGACTGGGAATCGGACCGGTGACCTTTCAGTGCATGGGATGACGCTCAACCAACTGAGCCACCCAGTCAGGGCAAACCAGCTTTTAATTTAGTTGTTTACTGCTAAAAAATTACTTACAATGATTCCACAAAAGTGGGTGGAACGGATTGATGAAAAATTGGTGAAAAGGGTGAGTATACTCTTTTTTTCTCTCATTTTTAAGATCATTTTTATTTTTCAATTACAGTGGACATACAATATTATATTAGTTCCAGGTGTACAACCCAGTGATTAGACATTATATTACTTACTAATCGATCATCCCAATAAACCTCCCTGACGCCATACATAGTTATTAGGATATTATTGGCTATATTCCCTATGCTGTACTTTACATCCCCATGACTATTCTGTAACTACCAACTTATACTTCTTTTTTTAAAAATAATATGTTTTTATTGATTTCAGAGAGAGGAAGGAAGAGGGAGAGAGAGATAGAAACATCAATAATGAGAGAGTATCATCGATTGGCTCCTCCTGCATGCCTCCTACTGGGGATCAAGCCCACAACCCAGGCATGTGCCCTGACCAAGAATTGAACTGTGACCTCCAGGTTCATGGGTTGATACCCAACCACTGAGCCACACTGGCCAGGCCCAATTTGTACTTCTTAATCCCTTCACCTTTTTATTTATCCCCCAGCCTCCTCCCTTCTGACAACCGTCAAAATGTTCTCTTCATCTATGTGTCTTTCTGCTCTGCTTGTTCATTTATTTTGTTTTTTAGATTCAGTTGTTGATAATATGTATTTATTGCCATTTTATTGTTCATATTTTTTATCTTTTTTCTTCTTACATTTCTTTTACATTTCTTTTAATACTGGTTTGGTGGTGGTGAACTCCTTTAGCCTTTTCTTGTCTAGGAAGCTCTTTATATATGTTCTTTGATTCTAAATGATAGCTTTTCTGGGCAGAGTAATCTTGGCTGTAGGTCCTTGCTTTTCATCACTTTGAATATTTCTTGCTAGTGCCTTCTGGCCTGCAAAGATTGTTGAGAAATCAGCTGACAGGTAGGTAACTAACTGCTTTGGTCTTGCTGCTTTTAAGATTCTCTCTGTCTTTAACCTTTTGCAAGGGCCCACCCCACAGAGCAGGACTTACTTAAGTGGAGCTCTGGTGCACGTTGAGTCCACCCCTTGAGTGGTTGGGTGGTGCTTTGATGTGATCTGAGGCTGTCCAGTGGTGTACTGGCTCTGGGGCCTTCTGGGAGGTGCAGGCTAAGGTCAGCTGCTGCCTGTGTTCTGCCCAGGGCCACCCAGAATGAGCTACAAAGTGATCTGTAGATGGCTGCTACTTGTGCTGGGGTTGGAGATGCCCAGGAGAGGCCAAACTGTGACGCAAGGCCGACTGCCATTAGTGCCAGGCCTGGGGCCACTTAGCAAGAGGTACGAGCCACTCTGAGGGCAGATGCTGCATGAGAGATTTTAGGAAAGTCTGAAGCATGAGCTAAGACAGGCCATTAGTATGGAAAAGGCACTGTAAACAGCTTGGGTGGGCCTGAATGTTGGGTGAGGCTGAGTTTCAGGGAATCACCAGGTGGGTGAGTATTAACCAAGTTGATGAAGACTCAGATATGGCACCCACCTGCTGGCTCTGTGCCGGGAGGGCTCAGAAAAGGAGCAGTTGCCTTTGCCAGCACTTGTCTGGGAGAAAGCTCCCCCTCCAGCTCTCGCCCTAATTCCAGACATTTTAGTTCCTCCCTGTTTGTCCCTGGTGCTTTTTGAGCTACTGCTCCAGTTCTGGAGCTCAGAGTGAGTGAGTCTGATTAAGTCCGTCAGCAGACCCTTTAAAGGAATGCCTAGGACTCCAGCAGCCCTCTCTCTCAGCCACAATCCCCACCAGTTTTTACAGCCAGAAGATATGGGGACTCCTCTTCCTGGCACTGGAATGCTGTGCTGGGGGCCTTGTGTGGGGCTGGGACCCCTTGCTCTTCGGCGAGGGGGGGGGCGCTCTGTAGCCAAGATATCCTTCTTGATGTTTATCTGCCACATGTGAGTATGGGACCAGCCTTTTTCGCATCTCCACCCCTTCCACCAGTCTCCATGTTTTGTGTTGATTTACTAACTAGTCTTGATTAGGCTTGCTATTCAACAACTTAGTTTGAAATGAGAGAAGGAAAATGTTAAAAGAAACAATGAAAATTTAGTAAGATCATAGTCCAGTTTAAACTAGAAATCCTAGTTCAGATTTAATATAAATATATAAAATATCTTTATTATTTCTGCTAAGTTACAATTTAACACTAGAGCTCAGGAAAAAAAAGTGTAGCTTTTGATGGATAAGAGGCATCTAAATGTTATAATTATATAGCTTCTTTTCAGTGCCTCTTGTGTTAAGGTTAAATGCTTTGATTATACGCTGTTTACTTAAATTGCTCAGCTTGCCCAGGCTTGATGGAAGGAATTACTTGATGTCAAGACAGGGCATTGAAAAGAGATACACCTGGTTTCTTCACTATTGGAGGCCTTAAGAGAAGCGTTTGACGACTTTAGTTGTGTGACAGAATTTAGCTTTATTGAGGTGGTTTTAACATTTGGGGGGCGGATAGGATGATTTTTTTTTAACATGCCAGAGGGTTTTGCAGTTCTGGTGTGAGTTGAGGGCCGAGTGAGTTGCAGGAAAAGCAGAATCACAGCAGTAGTTGCTGAAAATACTAGTCTATAACTGGATTTTTTCACCAAGTTACCCTCTCCTATATAATATTGATAATATTTTTTCTGTTAGTCATTTTATGTAGAACTTTTTCAGATTTATACTAATATCTACTGAATACTAATAATATTCTATCGTTGTATTCATAAAGCTAGAATTGTAAAATATGTGAATGCAGATTGACATTAAGGAAAACAGGAACATATCTAGGAGAAATGCAGGTGTTCAGAGTTGAGGCCAGAATTATATCTGACATTTTTATTTGTTTGTTTGTCTTTCTTTTGAGCAGCAAAAATGGAGATGATTTATTTTGAATACTCAGTGTGTTTTTTTTAAACAAAGGATATAAGAGAATTAATAGAGGAGATTGTCAGAGAATCAGAATGTTCCTCCACACCTATAGCTAAAGGATTAATAGGCAGGAAGAGTCTTGGAAACAGTATGCGAATTCCAAGTTGCTATACATTCTTAAAATGCATAAAACCTTGTAAAATGTAGGAATGTAGTGGTAAGCGATTAAACCATGGATAGATACTGTCGTGTATTTACCCCAAATGCAGGAGATCCAGGCTTCCCTTTGTAGCCATGGAATTTGTCTTCTTTCTTTCTTTTTAATAGATCTTTATTGATTTCAGAGAGAGGAAGGGAGAGGGAGAGAGAGATGGAAACATCAATAGTAAGAGAGCCATTGATGGGCTGCCTCCTGCATGCCCCCGACTGGGGACCAAGCCCACAACCCGGACATGTGCCCTGACCAGGAATCGAACCCTGATCTCCTGGATCCTAGGTCGATGCTCAGCCCCTGAGCCATGCCTGGCCGGGCTTCTTTTTTTAGTCCTCATCTGAGGGTGTGTTTTCCATTGATGAGAAGGGAGTCACAGAGAGAGAGAAACATCAGTTGGCTGCCTTACTGGGGATGGAACCCAAAACCTGGGTATGTGCCCTGACCAGGAATCGAACCCACTACCTTTAGGCATATGGGATGATGCTCCAACCAACTGAGCCGCACCAGCCAGGGCATGGAATTTGTCTTCTTAAGTAGGACTTTGTTTTTAGTTTTTTCTGACAGTAAGCTCCTAGTAAAAATTTATAATACAAATAATTGATAATCATTTCTGCCTTGTTTTATAGTTTACTCTTTCTAAGAATGCTGGGTCACAAAATAAAATACTATTTTAGGAAAAGGCTTCAGAGAGAGTTTTTTGAAAGTTCAAAAAGGTTTGGTTTATCGATTGAAGATGTAATTTAATATATTTTTGCTGTTGTTTTCTTCCGTAAAAAAAAATAAAAATCTGTCTCCTAGTGGTATTAGATATTGTCTGTTTATAGTCTCTGATGACTAGCATGTTTCATTAATGTCAAACTTGAGGAGTAATAAGATGCTGTACACAGTCTAATTCTCCCTCTACTGGTTCAAAAAAAAAAAAATAGTAAAGTATATTTGGTCTTAGGTGGAAATTAGACTCTGGAAAGCAACCAGGATTAGGGTCTGTTTCTGCTGTTTAACCTTATGCACGGCTCTCCAGGTTTCTGTTACTTCATCTTCAAAGTGTGAAAAATAACAGTATGTAAGTCATAAGGGTGTTTTGCGGAATAACTAAAATAATGCATGTAAAACACTTAGCAGCGTTCCCAGAATATAATGAGTCCTCGATATGTGGTTTAAATGATTAAAAAAATTCCTGCATGCGTGGAGTCTGTGTTCTACATCTTTTTCTTATCCTTTGGGTGTTTCAGTCTCCTCAGGGGGTAAGTGTGGCATTAAGGATGGCCAAGTCCTCCTGCAGTCAGTGTGGGCAGCATCTAGAAACCGATGCTTTCCCTAAGGCAGAATTTATTGGTTCCAAATAGCCCATAGTAATACATGGAAAAGATGAAATTGAATGGTTTTAAAAGGATTTTCTCTTTATATGCTTTCTTTTCATTTTTTAAAACAGCGCTTTTGAAGATGAGACCATGAGGCTTCGACAGCTGAAACTTGATAATCAGGTGAGTAGAGTCTTCTCTTTTGAAATAAGTGGAGAGTTATACTGACCATGATGCTGCCGGTCTCAACTATGAAGTCTTGGCAGGGTCATAGAAAGAAGACCTGATAGTCAGGCTGGTGTTGCTCAGCAGTTGAGTGTCAACCTATAATCCAGGAGATCAAGGTTCAATTCCCAGTCAGGGCGCATGCCTGGGTTGAGGACTTGATTCCCAGTGCGGGGCGTGCAGGAGGCAGTCGATCAATGGCTCTCTCATCACTGATGTTTCTATCTCTCTCTCCCCTTCTCTCTTCTTCTCCCTGAAATCAATCAAATTATATTTAAAAAAAAAAAAGAATGGGGGACTCCTGCATGTCCTCTTATAAAAAGAAAGAGGAAGGAAGGAAGGAAGGAAGGAAGGAAGGAAGGAAGGAAGGAAGGAAGGAAGGAAGGAAGGAAGGAAGGGAGGGAGGGAGGAAATAAGTTTCCGTGAGGATGAGTAGAAATTAGAAACCTGTGCATTGCTGGTGGAAATGAAAAATGGTTCAACAGTTCTGGAAAACAATCTGGAGAGTTTTCAAAAATTAGAATTACTATACAATTCAGAAATTCCATTGCTAGGTATATACCCCAAAGAAATGGACAAAGGAAGAAGACACCCAAATAGAGATTTGCAAACCTGTGTTCATAGCATTATTCACAATAGCCAAAAGGTGGAAGCAAGCCAAGTGTCCGTTAAAAGACAAATGGATAAACAAAATGTGGTATGTACATACGGTGGAATATCATTCAGCCTTAAAAAGGAAAGCANACTTAGTATCTGCTGAACCAAGGGCCTGAGCTATGGCAAGACCAAAGTGCTTTGAGGACGTCAGCAATAAAACTGACCTTGGATTTGTAATCACTGAAAATTCCTTGGCGCCTTTCATAAGAATTAGAAGAATGTTAACAGTGTAATTCTGTGTGCTTATTTGGTCCTACTGCCTTAAGTACCTCTCTACACTGTAATTTCATTTAACTACAAGATTTTTTTTCTTACCCTAATCTGCAGATCTGAACATGCTGCTGTGCTTGTTTAAAAACTTCCATTGCCTGAAGAATAATTTTCTTCATAGCACTGGTCCCAGTTTTAACTACACATTAAATTTTTTTGGCAATGATTTGATTTATGTTTTTTTCTTCTACCAGACTAAGTTCCATGAGAACAGGAAGCAAGTCTGTTTATGATGACTGTTACATCAGAAGTTCCTAGCATAGGGCTGGGCACATAATCATCCTTCATTAAATAGTTGAGTGAAGGAAGGAATAAATGAACAGAGTTTTGTGTTATCACATGCTATCTTCATGATTAGTCATCTTAGAACCTATACTCAACATAGCATATTTGTTTTTTCATATGAATGTTCTTTAATTCAGGAAATTCTATAACTGTATCTACCTATGTAGGATCATTAACAATCAAAGTGTCTAAACTCCATAGGTAACTAAAAGGACCTCTAAAATTTTGTCTTGCTTCTTTATGTTGCTGTTGGAATTAATAACAGGACCTCTAGCACAATAAATTGAAGATGGAATCATTAAAATCTAGGAAAGAGGTCTTGGCAGAGCATGCAGGGCTCTGTGCTCTGAGCTCTTATGCCCTGAGTGGCAGTGCATAGGGTAGACCTTGCCTGCTCTGGGCTTTGGGAGTGCCTAGCCACCCTACCCTCCATACCCTAAGGGCCAGGCCCACCCCATCAGCCGGCCAACCCTCCACAGTAGGACAAGGTGGAGGTGCAGACTGGAACACCATGCCTGTCCCTGGAACCACACTGCTACTTGCGCTTGAGTGTGGCTGCCCCCACAGGGCACCTTTCAAAACTTTCATGGCAATAGCACTTCCCTGGAGACTGTCATCGAGTTCCACTGCCCCTCAGGCCACCAGATGGTAGAGCATAGCACCCAGGGATCTTGTGTACAAGCCTGAGACTCCTGCTTTAAGGCTACGGTGATTGCCTCCATTGCCAACTGCACCAGCGGCCTATTCACCCGGGCGTTCCTCACCTGCTGTCTCATGAAGTGCATGGGGAAGAGTGAGCCTGGAGCCTCAGCACTCTGACAGGGCTGCCCAGTTCAGCCTCAAGGGTCTGAATAATGACAGCAGTGCCACCACAGGTCTGGAGCCATATGGCTCCGCCTAGCCAGGCACAGGGCTACTACAGCTTCACCACCCTTGGTGAGGGCACCACAGGACTGGCCAGTGTGGACAAGGACCCTAGGACCCCTGGGCTCAGTGCTCTGAGCTATCCTCATGCTCTGGTGGCAGTGCACAGGGCAGACCTTGCCTGCTCTGGGCTTTGGGAGTGCCTAGCCACCCTACCCTCCATACCCTGAGGGCCAGGCCCACCCCACCAGCCGGCCACCTCTGTCTCCACATATGACCAGCTCCAGATTGATCAGTAAAATCCACTTCCAGGCTTAGGACAAGCTGTCAGGACAAGCTGACTGATGCCCAAGGCTGGGGTCCCCAGTGGGGATGACCAATCAGTCTCTGGGGGAGCCCTGCTGTAGTGGTTTTTATGGCTTGAAACCACTGCTGAGGTTAATATACCTGCTGCAGCCTTCCTCCACCTGGCTCCCTTTAAAGAGACTCGGGGACATTTTAAGCAAATACAGTTTTTCATGGCAGAGTAGGAAAATGGCAACAAACTTCCCAGCAGTTACAGATGGCTGCCTGGGTACCTTCCTCCGCAAGGCATGCTGCTTCTAAGTGGAGACCCGGGTAGGGTTATGCATCCATCATGTCAGTGAAGGGTGTGAAAGAAACAGTTCTTTCTAATACTGGAAAAAGTAAAGAAAACTGGGAAATAAACTAATCTTCCTGGGATCATGGGGAAAATTCTGGTTACAGATATATTTATTGCCCCTACAAAGATCAGAATAATTGTGATGAGCCCTCATTTTCTACATCCCATTGTATAGCAAACTATATTTAGGGAGAAATAACCACATAGCTTTAAATCTTTGCTTGATTTATTTTTAAGGCTAAATGATACATCCCTTGCTAGCATTAAATGAAATCTTTGGTTGTCTACCAAGTAATTATATAAGACATACATTTTTGAATTTTGTGTGGTTTCTGAATAGATATATTTTCTGGATTTTTAAAAAAGATTGCCCAAATATTTTGTGATTTTTATTCTTTTCAGTGGGAATACTACATGTGGAATAAGTGTTGGGATTTTGTGAGCCTTTTTATAGCACAAATAATTATTTTTTTACTTTTATTTTTTAATCCTCACCCAAGGATATTTTTTCCATTGCTTTTCAGAGAGAGTAGAAGGGGGTGGGCGTCAACGTGAGAGGGACACATCGATTGGTTGCCTTCTGCTTGCCCACCGACCTGGGCAGGGGATTGAGCCTGCAACCGAGGTATATGCCCTTGGCCGGAATCAAACCCAGACCCTTCAGCCTGAAGACCAATGCTCTAACCACTGAGCCAAACCGGCTAGGGCAGCACAAATATTTTTTAAAATTATGTTTTTAATGGTTATAAAAGCATATGGTAAGAATGCAAATATACAAAAAAGATATTTGATGAAAAATATCCACACCCTCACACATACTACTTGGCTCAGTTCTTTTTCTTTCTGTTTTTAATATGTCTTTATTGATTTCAGAGAGAGGAAGGGAGATAGAGAGATACATCAATGACAAGAGTCATTGATCAGCTGCCTCCTGCATGCCCTCCACTGGGGATTGAGCCGGCAACCAAGGCGTGTGCCCTGACCGGGAGTCGAACCTTGATCTCCTGGTTCATAAGTCGATGCTCAAACACTGAGCCATGCCGGCTGGGCTTGACTCAGTTCTTAACCAGAGGCAGTCACTAACTTCTAGTGTATCCTTCCAGAGATAGTCAAAGAATATAAAGACATAAAATTTGGAAAGCAGAATCTCCACCTTCCTGGCCAGGGATAGCAACTGTGAAACTGCAGGAGATAATCTTTCTAGGCAAGGTGGTTGAGGAGGAGGGAGGGATTGGAGGGGGGGTTGGCCTAGTGTGCACTCTGCACTTTGGGAATGTTATTGTGCATGGAACAGATAGGGAAGGGGCATATAATAAAAATAGAATCAAAGTTGTTTAATAGCAACTCACTATAAAGAAGAGATTTTCTTACAGACCCTGGGAAACTGGAGGATGTGTTGCAAGAGGAAGAACAGGCCCTGGAGATAAGGCAGTCCTGGAGCCCAGATGAGCCAGTCACTCAAAAGAAAATACATTTTAAGTGCAGATCAAGGACAGGACCTATCTGAAGGGAGACAGTGTTCCAGGCTAATCTTTTCTGGGGCTATTCTTTGCAAGGACAGTGATAGAAGGCAGGCCCTGAGAACTCACTAACTTTAGAT